GACAAACAAACAAGCAGACAGATATTCTCTCTCTTCTAGTATAGATAAGAGAAAGGTTTCTGTTTATCTCTGTCGTATATTTGTAGGACTCAAGGGATGCAATTTTCTGTTCTGCATGTGTTACCTGTGTTCTTCATGTGTTGCCTGTGTTCTGCATGTGTTACCTGTGTTCTGCATGTGTTGCCTGTGTTCTGCATGTGTTACCTGTGTTCTTCATGTGTTGCCTGTGTTCTTCATGTGTTGCCTGTGTTCTGCATGTGTTACCTGTGTTCTTCATGTGTTGCCTGTATTCTGCATGTGTTACCTGTGTTCTTCATGTGTTGCCTGTATTCTGCATGTGTTACCTGTGTTCTTCATGTGTTGCCTGTGTTCAACATGTGTCGCCTTTTTTCTTCATGTGTTGCCTGTGTTCTGAATGTGTTGCTTGTGTTCTGGATATGTTGCCTGTGTTCTGCATGTGTTACCTGTGTTCTTCATGTGTTACCTGTGTTCAACATGTGTCGCCTATTTTCTTCATGTATTGCCTGTGTTCTTCATGTGTTACCTATGTTCAACATGTGTCGCCTATTTTCTTCATGTGTTGCCTGTGTTCTACATGTGTTGCCTGTGTTCTGCATGTGTTGCCTGTGTTCTGCATGTGTTCCCTGTGTTCTACATGTGTTCAGCATGTTTCGCCTGTGTTCTGCATGTGTCGCTAGTGTTCTACATGTGTCGCCAGTGTTCTGCATGTGTAGCCAGTGTTCTGCATGTGTCGCCAGTGTGTTCGTAGCATGTGTCGCCTGTGTTCTGCATGTGTCGCCTGTGTTCTACATGTGTCGCCAGTGTTCTGCATGTGTCGCCAGTGTTCTGCATGTGTCGCCAGTGTCGCCAGTGTTCTGCATGTGTCGCCAGTGTTCTGCATGTGTCGCTAGTGTTCTACATGTGTCGCCAGTGTTCTGCATGTGTCGCCAGTGTTCTGCGTGTGTCGCTAGTGTTCTGCATGTGTCGCCAGTGTTCTGCATGTGTCGCCTGTGTTCTGCATGTGTCGCCAGTGTTCTGCATGTGTCGCCAGTGTTCTGCATGTGTCGCCAGTGTTCTGCATGTGTCGCCAGTGTTCTGCATGTGTCGCCAGTGTTCTGCATGTGTCGCCAGTGTTCTGCAAGTGTCGCCAGTGTTCTGCATGTGTCGCCAGTGTTCTGCATGTGTCGCCAGTGTTCTGCATGTGTCGCCAGTGTTCTGCATGTGTGTCAGCTGTGGTCGACACAGGACAGCTGTACACTGAGAGTGATATCTCTACTCAGTTATTGTTATTTCTGTTAATGGTTGTAGTTACCTCTGCTCTAGATATATTACCTGTGTTTGTCAGTCTGTTTACCTGTTAAAACATCCAACACTCGATGTTCACCTTGCATCAATAACATCCCTGCCGGGGGTCGAACCCGGGACCTTTGGATTAGAAGTCCAATGCGCTTTCCACTGCGCCACAGGGACATTGCAATGTTAGACATCCATCTATTCATCTATCATTTCATCTATCTTGTCTTCATCACTGTAAATGATCAATGATTACTGAGGTAATTATTGGGACACACGGAGCACAGGTAACGTCTTGCACGTTGATCAGTTAGTGAGACACGGAGCACAGGTAACGCCTTGCTCGTTGATCAGTTAGTGAGACACGGAACACAGGTAACGTCTGCTTGATCAGTTAGAGACACGGAGAACAGGTAACGTCTTGCTCGTTGATCAGTTAGTGAGACACGGAGCACAGGTAACGCCTTGCACGTTGATCAGTTAGTGAGACACGGAGCACAGGTAACGCCTTGCTCGTTGATCAGTTAGTGAGACACGGAGCACAGGTAACGTCTTGCTCGTTGATCAGTTAGTGAGACACGGAGCACAGGTAACGCCTTGCTCGTTGATCAGTTAGTGAAGACACGGAAACACAGGTAACGTCTTGCACGTTGATCAGTTAGTGAGACACGGAGCACAGGTAACGTCTTGCTCGTTGTTTAGTTAGTGAGACACGGAGCACAGGTAACGCCTTGCTCGTTGATCAGTTAGTGAGACACGGAGCACAGGTAACGTCTTGCTCGTTGATCAGTTAGTGAGACACGGAGCACAGGTAACGCCTTGCACGTTGATCAGTTAGTGAGACACGGAGCACAGGTAACGTCTTGCTCGTTGATCAGTTAGTGAGACACGGAACACAGGTAACGCCTTGCTCGTTGGCCAAGACGATCTTAATAGGGTTTTGAAATGTTCAAAATATTGGCAGATGCAGCTTAATGCTGACAAATATATGGTTAGGCTAGGTAATGATGAGAGAGTTAGAAGATACGAGCTAGATGGTGTTGAGATTGTCAAGTCGGATTACGAAAGGAATCTGGGAGTTATGCAGACGATGAGTCACAATAACGTGGCTAAAGTAAGTTGACCAGACCACACACTATAAGGTGAAGGGACGACGACGTTTTGGTCCGTCCTGGACCATTCTCAAGTCACAATCGACTTGAGAATGGTCCAGGATGGACCGAAACGTCGTCGTCCCCTCACCTTCTAGTGTGTGTGGTCTGGTCAACCGGGAGTTATGATTTATTTGAATTCAAAACCAAAAAATAAATACATAAACGTTCGAAATAAGGTAAACTGGACACAGGGATTTATTTATCGAAGCTTTAGTAACAAGACATCTGGTGTTGTTCTTCAGTTCTATTTTGCTCTGGTTAGGCCCCATTTAGATTATGCAGTTCAGTTTTGGTCGCCGTACTATTCAATGGATATACATTCACTAGAACGTGTCCAGCGTAGGATGACAAAGTTAATTCCCCAAATTAGAAACCTGTCAAATGAAGAGAGATTAACAAAGCTTAAATTACATTCTCTAGAAAGGCAAAGAATTACTGGTGACATGACAGAGGACAGAGTTGAATTCTCTACGGGAGGAGCTACGGCAGATGAAACAACGTCAAGACAAAGTAAATGAGGAGAGCAGCAGTAAATAGTCTTCATCTTGGATTGTCGTAAAGGACAGGAGTCTTAAGAAGACTTTGACAAAGTCACCTACAGATGTGACGAGGGACACGCCCCAGGCACATGGGGTGACGAGGGACACGACCCAGGCACATGGGGTGACGAGGGACACGACCCAGGCACATGGGTGACGATGGACACGCCCCAGGCACATGGGTGACGAGGGACACGCCCCAGGCACATGGGTGACGAGGGACACGCCCCAGGCACATGGGGTGACGAGGGACACGCCCCAGACACATGGGGTGACGAGGGAAACGCCCCAGACACATGGGGTGACGAGGGACACGCCCCAGGCACATGGGGTGACGAGGGACACGCCCCAGGCACATGGGGTGACGAGGGACACGCCCCAGACACATGGGGTGACGAGGGACACGCCCCAGACACATGGGGTGACGAGGGACACGCCCCAGGCACATGGGGTGACGAGGGACACGCCCCAGGCACATGGGGTGACGAGGGACACGCCCCAGGCACATGGGGTGACGAGGGACACGCCCCAGACACATGGGGTGACGAGGGACACGCCCCAGGCACATGGGGTGACGAGGGACACGCCCCAGGCACATGGGGTGACGAGGGACACGCCTCAGGCACATGGGGTGACGAGGGACACGCCCCAGACACATGGGGTGACGAGGGACACGCCCCAGGCACATGGGGGGACGAGGGACCCGCCCCCGGCACATGGGGTGACGAGGGACACGCCCAGGCACATGGGTGACGAGGGACACGCCCCAGATACATGCGTGACGAGGGACACGCCCCAGACACATGGGTGACGAGGGACACGCCCCAGGCACATGGGTGACGAGGGACACGCCCCAGGCACATGGGTGACGAGGGACACGGCCCAAGCACATGGGTGACGAGGGACACGCCCCAGACACATGCGTGACGAGGGACACGCCCCAGACACATGGGTAACGAGGGACACGCCCCAGGCACATGGGTGACGAGGGACACGCCCCAGACACATGCGTGACGAGGGACACGCCCCAGACACATGGGTGACGAGGGACACGCCCCATGCACATGGGTGACGAGGGACACGCCCCAGACACATGGGTGACGAGGGACACGATCCAGGCACATGGGTGACGAGGGACACGCCCCAGGCACATGGGTGACGAGGGACACGCCCCAGGCACATGGGGTGACGAGGGACACGACCCAGGCACATGCGTGACGAGGGACACGACCCAGGCACATGGGTGACGAGGGACACGCCCCAGACACATGCGTGACGAGGGACACGCCCCAGACACATGGGTGACGAGGGACACGCCCCAGACACATGGGGTGACGAGGGACACGCCCCAGGCACATGGGTGACGAGGGACACGCCCCAGGCACATGGGTGACGAGGGACACGCCCCAGGCACATGCGTGACGAGGGACACGACCCAGGCACATGGGGTGACGAGGGACACGACCCAGGCACATGCGCGACGAGGGACACGACCCAGGCACATGGGTGACGAGGGACACGCCCCAGGCACATGGGTGACGAGGGACACGACCCAGGCACATGGGTGACGAGGGACACGACCCAGGCACATGGGTGACGAGGGACACGCCCCAGGCACATGGGTGACGAGGGACACGTCCCAGACACATGGGGTGACGAGGGACACGCCCCAGACACATGGGTGACGAGGGACACGACCCAGGCACATGCGTGACGAGGGACACGACCCAGGCACATGGGTGACGAGGGACACGCCCCAGACACATGGGGTGACGAGGGACACGCCCCAGACACATGGGTGACGAGGGACACGCCCCAGGCACATGCGTGACGAGGGACACGCCCCAGACACATGCGTGACGAGGGACACGCCCCAGGCACATGCGTGACGAGGGACACGTCTCCCACACATCGACAAAATGTCACTCCTCATTACTAACAGCCTCGACGTTCTATATGAAGGAGTCAAGAAGCAGCAAATATTGACCAAGTAATGTCCCCCGGCCGGCCTGGAGACTGTCTACTAGTGTCCCGCCCCACCGCACACACCCACGTCACACTGACCATTATGAGGACAGGTAGATAATAATAATATCTATCGCATGTGTGTTGATGGCCTATTAATGACTATTGGGCGATAAATTTCATGATGAGCATCGCATTACTCGACACTTAGTAACCTTGTGAGTCAACACATTTGTTGAGCACCGCGTCCAAGATGACGTCAACAGCTGTAGGTAGATCTCATGCAGCTGGTGTAGTATCAGTATGAGCTGTATGTATCAGCTCATACATATGAGCTAAATGTATCAGCTCATACATATGAGCTAAATGTATCAGCTCATGCATACTTCATGTATGCTATCTCCTATGTTATGTAGTAGGTGTTTCTTGTCGTAAATAATCAATCCATTACCACACAATTCTCACTGTGCGAGCATGCCGCCCAGGTCAACAACACCTACTATCAGATGCCCAACAACATTAGGGTTTATATCCAGCAATTGATCAACGTTGGCACCGGTGCACTTTTGTGTTTGCAACACAACTATGACACAAGAGTCATCTGCGAAACTCGCCATTATTGAACGCCCCGGACCCCTGAGCGGGTACTGTACACAATGTGCCCATCAATCCACTCTCTGATGATGCTTCTCATATTGACTACCACTTGATAATGGTCCTGGATGGACCCAAAAGACGTCGTTTCTCCATCTTCTGTTGTGTGGTTTAGTCATAATTGCACCACGTGGGTAGTGTGACCGAGACCGGACGAATAACCCCGTCCTCTCCAGGTGGCTCAACGGAGAGAAAATGATGTATTAAAACACCCCCAAACCAAGCCTAACTTAATCCAGGGACCATCGTATAGAGAACGTGATTTTCTGTGATCTGCTATGATTTATAGAGCATCATATTTTGTTCGTTGGGAATTTAGGGGTCAGAATTCGTTGTATTATTCAAGAGGACGGGTAGCAGAGATGGCCCTCCAGTGAGAACAGTGAACTGAATGGTCTTCGTTTTCTGTGGCTTTCACAGGGACATCCACTTTGCTTCTAGTTCTTCTCTTTCTGGATGTGCTATGTTCTCTGCCTCCAAGATACCTTTGGAAGGACTCTGGGTCTGAAAGAAGTGTTATGGAAGGAAGAAGGTGGAGTACAAGGAACATAGAAGCCATAACTCTCACTCGCTTCATGCAGGTCGACGCTCAGTCCCCGACCGTCCAAGTGGTTGGGCCCCATTCCTTCCTCCCCCAGTCCCATCCAAAATCTTTATCCTGATCCCTTCCAAGGGCTTTATAGTTATATATAGACAAGCAAATATATTGCACTTTGTTAATTTCCTTCCCTCTCCCACTTCCTGTACCGACTTGAGTCGGTATGTGCAGAACACCGCGTCCAAGAGGCACTCTTGGTTGTACCTGGTATGACACAAGTCATACCGTGTACTGCTGGTATGACTTGTGTCATACAGAAGTACCCTGTGAATCAGGAATTAACGCATCAGCGCTCATGCTCACTTCAACCCTCTAAATCTGCATCTGAACTACTATCTTGAGGTTATCTTGAGATGATTTCGGGGCTTTAGTGTCCCCGCGGCCCGGTCCTCGACCAGGCCTCCACCCCCCAGGAAGCAGCCCGTGACAGCTGACTAACACCCAGGTACCTATTTTACTGCTAGGTAACAGGGGCATAGGGTGAAAGAAACTGCTCATTGTTTCTCGCCGGCGCCCAGGATCGAACCCGGGACCACAGGATCACAAGTCCAGCGCGCTGTCCGCTCGGTCGACCGGCTCCCGCACTGAGCCAATCTGCCCCATACTGTCCTCACTTCTAACATACTCGTCACAGAACTCTAATTGCTGGAGACATGGGACCCATCTCACGACCCTGGGGTCGGTGTACTTCCTAGTTCCTAGACTGCTAAGACGTTGATGGTCGATGTGGAAGACAAGATTGATTGATTGATGAAGATTAAGCCACCCAAAAGGTGGCACGGGCATGAATAGCCCGTAAGTGGTGGCCCTTTTGAGCCATTACCAGTATCAAGAGCTGTTACTGGAGATCTGTGGAGGTGCGAATGCACCCCCGCATGACGGGAGATGTCTCCTTTGTGAATGTGTTAAGATGAAGATGAAGCCACCCAAGAGGTGGCACGGGCATGAATAGCCTGTAAGTGGTGGCCCTTTTGAGCCATTACCAGTATCAAGAGCTGATACTGGAGATCTGTGAAGGCGCGACTGCACCCTGCGTGACGGGAGATGTCTCCCGTTGGAAGACAAGTCGATTGCGATGTATATATACTGGTAGAATTTCCTGCCTCCCCCCCCCCCCCTCCACCTCGACTACCGTGGGGAGCTTGTCTACCTGTGCATGTGTGTAGACGATGAGTCACAATAAAATTATAAGTACATTAGATTCAAGGAAACTGCAGAAGGCCTATTGGCCCATATGACGCAGCTCCTACTTATATCCACCCAAACTCATTCATCTATATTAATAAAAATGCTAATGTTCGTTTGTTCAAAATCGCTAATCTCGGAAAGTTCTTCAGCGAGTGCTTTGAAATTTTTACACAACGTTCCATTCGCAACAAAGCGGGTTTTTATATACATACTATATAGATGTCACGTCTGTGATGGGAAAAACAAATTTAACTGTGTTTTTCATTTGAGGGAAATCTTCGAAACCTCTTATGTAATTGCTTTGAAATTTTGACACAAAGTTGCATTCGAATAGGAGCGTATTTTTATATACTTACTATATACATGCCTCACCTGTGACAGGAAACACAGGATGATTTTTTTTAAACAGCGCAATCTGTTGGACATAAAAGCAACACACTATAATCTCCAAAAGTTCTTCACCAATTGCTTTGAAAGTTTTAAACAACATTCCATTCGAATACAGGCATGTTTTATATACCTTCCATATAGATACGACACCTTTGATAGGTAAAAACATGTTTGTTTGTTAAACAGCGCCATCTGATGCACGGAATAGCAACTCATGCTATATTAATATGTTACAATTCCATTTCAGTGTTTCCAACTGCATTGATAAATTTAATTTTCACAGATTTCAATTTATTTTCATTTTTATTTAATTATTTTGTGTGATATTGCATTGGAATTGAGCTGTATTGGTTACCATAGTGATCATTTCGTATGTATAGTTCATTTTTTTCATTTCTTCATTTCGTTTCTTTAACTGTTCTACTTATTTTTTAGTGATGGGAACATCAGATCATTTGGGAACACATTAGACGAGGCAATGGAGAATGGTAGGGAGGACAAGGGAACGGAAGTGGGGGATGGGGGGGGGGGACGAGGTGGCAGGAAAGGGGGGGGGTAATGGTGAAGAGGACGAGGGGATGGGGCAGTGGGGGATGGTTGGGAGGACGTAGGGACAGGGGAGTGGGGGATTTTGGGGAGAACGAGGGGACATGGGAGGGGGGTGGGGAATCGTTGGGTAGACGAGGGGATGGGGGGTGGAGGGAATGGAGGGTAGAACAGAGGGGAAAGAGAAGGTTTGCTCAGCAATGCATGCGCATTGCTGATCCACAGTAACGCGTGGCTGGGTACAACTAGTATATATATCTATATAAATGAAAATGTTCGTTTGTTCAAAATCGCTAATCTACGAAAGTTATACACCGATTGCTTTGAAATTTTCACACAACGTTCCATTCGCATCCGAGCAGGTTTTTATATACATACTATATCGATGTCACGTCTGTGACGGTAAAAAAAAAACATGTTTTTTCCGAAAAACTGTGTTTTTCATGTGAGGGAAATCTTCAAAACCTCTTCACCGATTGCTTTGAAATTTTGACACAACGTTGCACTCAAATAGGCGTGTCTTTTTATATATTTACTATATACATGCCTCACCTGTGACAGGAAAAAAACATGCTTTTTTTGAAAAGCAGCGCCATCTGTTGGATGTAAGAGCAACACACGCTGTAATCTCGAAAAGTTCTTCACCGATTGCTTTGAAATTTTGACACACCGTTGCCTTCAAATAGGCGCGTCTTTTTACATACATACTATATGGATGCCACCTCTGTGACATGTAAAAATATGTTTTTTTAAACAGCGCCATCTGTTGTACATAATGGCAACATGCATGGAATAATAAATATGTCACGAATTCCATTTCAATGTTCCCGACTGCATTGATAAATTTTATTTTCATAGATTTCAATTTATTTTATTTTTTAGTGAATTATTTTGTGTGACATTGTGTTGAAATTGAACTGTGTTGTTTTTTTTGTTTTTTTTTATTCTTTTTAGCAGGGATAATCCTGCGCGGGCCCTAAGCCTCTGGCTGGCCCACTAAGTGATGCTTGTTTCTGTTTTACTTGGGCGGAGGATGAGTATGTATGACTCGTAGGGTCGCTTCAGTAAGATTTTGCCATATGTGTTTAACAACTTCCTCTGCTCTGTTGAATCGAAGGTGAAATCTTAACGGGTTTGTAACTGTGCACTGTGTTAGATAATGTTCCAGTGGTCTGACGGGCAGTTCTCCACAGTGTTGACATTTCCTCTCACCTTCCGGAACCCGTAAGCCTATTTCCCATGCACATGGGTATCCAAGCCTGATGCGATGTAAGTGCACTTCTGTTGTTCTACTGCTCCCTTTCATCAAACTAAGTGGTTCGTAGTTGGTGGAATCCTTGTACCAACCCGCAGATCCTGATGTTGCAACTGCAGTGTTGTGGTCACTGTACATCTTTCGCATTGCTCTGTTTCGAATCACTTTCTTCATCTGGGAGAGACTCTGTGGTATGTAAATGTCTACATTCCTCCTCTTAGTAGCAAGTTTTGCAGCTTCGTCTGCAATGTCATTACC